CCCAAAAGAGCCAAAGTTACCTTGATACCAGCACCACTGTTGTGCACATCAACTTTGGCTCTGATGTCTTTGTCCGCCCTGCGCGCTCTCCTAAGGAACTTTCTGGTAAACTTGAGGCCAAACTTGATGTTGTCGCCACAGCCTCCCCACAGCCAGGTCTTGGTATTTTCCAGGTGCTTGGACTCGTCACACGTGCACCGGTCCAGGATGCCTTGCGCGCACGCACGTGCAAACTCGTGGACGAGACCAGCGGAGGAGACGGCGTAAAGGAAAGATGTTTCCTTGATTCCTGATTAGAAAGAGTGAAAACGGTTAAACATTTTTTAAAACTCTCTGCAAAGAGTCTACATAACAAGAGGGTCCACTCCTCTCTTTGAGCCAATTAAAAACGTGTCCTCAAAATTCGGTGGCGCCCTCTTCGCAAATGGGCACCCTTTTCGAACAGAGTTACCCTACTTGTGTTTAAAAAAAATCAAAGTGAAACTTACAAGTTTTTGAACAAATAAGAATTCAAATGTCGGAAGAACGCTTTTTGAAAATGGTTACGCTGACAAAAAACCTCTTCCGGAGGAAGGGACGGCTGTTTTCTTCGTTTAATTTGACTTTAGAATGAAAGGCGAGAGGTCATTAAAATAAACAAACGTAAAACTCCGCTCAGAACGAATCCGAACAGCTGATGAACAGCAGTCGATCAGCACACGCAATGAGGTGCTATTCCTATTCTTCTTCTGGAGAAACGAAAGAGAACTTCAAAACAGACTGCAGCGCCATCTAAAGCAAAGAGCGGACTTCCGGCGGACAATTTTTTGGCTGAGTGGACCATCTTGTTATGTAATATCTTTGCTCTCTGTCGACGCAGCGGACACACATTATGTCCGATCAGCAGCAGATCAAAGCCAATGACGCTGCTCATTTTGAACCAGTATACACGAACCAAAAACAAGAATTCGTATGTTTCACAATATGTGTATTTTTGCCTGTCATTTAAGTTTTAGATAAAGAAGGCAGAATTTAAATATATGAATGTGAGGGAGTCATGCCTCTATTTTTTTACAATCCCAAAACAACACGCCTTCAAACGTGCAAAATGCGTGTTTGAAATGAGTTAATGTAAATGTTTTTACGATCACCGTAGACAATATCTAGATTATTTTGGAGGCAAGCTTCCCGGCCTGCCTTTTAGAGCCAATCCGGAATGAGAGGGATACAGCATCCTTGGAGAAAGACCGAGCTATACTCGATGAAATCTCCTCTACTCGGGAATCGAACTCGGGTCTCCTGCGTGCGACAGCAAAGCGCCTAACGGCTACACCACAGACGGTGATATACAACAAGGAAATAGAAGATTAAAAAAGTAGCCTATAAATGATCGAAGTGATCTAAATTATGTCGATAGGGGGTCGTAACTAGAGCTGGGCAATGAGCCCCTTTAGCAAAATCCGGATACTATGTTAGTGCACCTCTTCGGCAAATAATATGATATGAACCGCCTCGGCAAATGGGTTAGAACTAGTTCAACATACGGGTTAGCATCATTTCAACAAATGGTTGCACCCACTTCGACAAGCGGGTCAGGAAAGTAAGTTAAGAGTCTGAATTCGGACAATGTTTCATTGATAATTATCCGGTTATCGAGATAGTTTATCCGGATTTTGCCCACCTCTAGTCGTAACACGTATGAAATTACAAGTGTTTTGGACGACTACTCTATGTTCTAAAGCCAATAGCTCTAGTGTTAAAAAATATAGGTTGTGATGATAGGCTTTCGGTCTCTCCATTACTGTGTCTGATCTAATGACGGTAGTGTAACGGTTAGGCGCCTCGGCGTCGCACACAGAAGACCCGAGTTCGATTGGGAGGATACTGTGTTAAGTAGAATCTATAACCTGTCTTTTCGGTAGGATTCTTAATACCATACAACACAGCTGACAGTCGGGGTCGAAGCAGCCTGCTTCGAAAATGGTCGCTTTTAAGCACAAGGGGGCTATCCCGAGAAATGCTGTTTTGAGAAAATTGAAGGTAAAGGTTTTGCCACATATACAATCTCTTTGAAAGACAAGGGTTTTCTCTATAACCAAAAAAAATATACACCAATGAAACCGAACTTCGCCTATAGGTAGGACACTGCCCACTTTTGGTGTTAGTCAAGATTTCTGGAAACCCCCGAAATCTGGGTTAGCCCGATTGTCCTTAAAAGCGACCTTACAACTTACAATACACAATTGCTTCTTCTCTGTCCTGACATTCTTAACTCACTTCACAGTGATACAAATCTGCTTCAAAAGGAACTTATCAGATTAGGGTTGTCTTTCTTTTTCTGGGGGGTGGGGGGGGTGGGGGGTCGAGGGAGGTGTTGTACAGTGGGTGTTTGGTTTTGATTAGACTTCAAACAAGCGCCAAAATGAGAATTCGGTCTTGATAGGAAAAACAAATTCTCTTTTATTTTTTAATTATTTGGTTTTTGGGGGGGGGGGGGGGGGGGTAAACTTCATTTGTTTTGAACTTTCTGTTCAGGATCTTGGGAGACTGTTATGTGCACAAACTATATATTATCACATCCAACAAGCTTCACATCGACATTGGTTGTGAAAAGAGAGAGTTACTGCGGGTCATTGTACGTCGACGTCACAGCCACAGATGACACGACACCTCCAGGTATCCAGGTATATTTTACTTCACGTTTCCCGCGTCTGTTGCGGTGTGGCACTTCGATGTCGCACCAAAGGGACCCGAGTTTGATTTCCAAGAGGGAAGACAATTTTTATCGAGGTGTTTCAGCTAAGATACATTTCCCTCTTTGCCCAGGTTTCCCCCGACAGGCAGAATCTAAGCCTGTCTCCTAGTTGATTAAAAAAAAAAACATAAAGAAAAGTTACTGCCCTAATCGCTACCTTAGAATTACAAAGTTGTTTCTGCTCAGTACCTAGTTTGAGATATTTGACGTTAAAGATTTTGAGTTTCACAAGTAAAGCTTTTTCGAATGCAGTTCTCAGAGTATTTTGATTACTACTCCGAATAACCCCACGAGTTCTGATAGAGCAGATGGAACAGTTGGTTTCTGACCTCTGGGTATTAAAGAAACGCTGTTCCTGCATCCGATCCGGACTTTGGGGATTGCCTTGTTGGTGAGACAAATTCTTGGGCCTTCGGCATATTGTGGTATTAGTAACCCAAAAAGGCCAAAAATGTCCGATAGAACCTTGTAATTCTGAAGTAGCGTCTTTATGTCCAAATAAATTTGACCGCAAACATATTTTGGATCAGAACTTCTAAGGTGTGTTATTAGGTGAGGCGGGTAACCCTAGAGCTGGGAGCTGTGGCTTTAGAAATGGTAAATGGTGCGCTTGTGAAGGAAACAGGTGTTGGAGAGCGAATATGATGTCACTTAATGTCAGAAGTTAAATTATTAACTTGTGATCTGGAAACATCCTTTCCTTTCTACAATGCTATAGTGTTTTCGGCATACCTAAACGTCATATGTGTGAAACACACCACATTGAAGATATATGTACTCCACCTCTATATACATGTACACATTTTGGACAATTGAGGAGGAAGGCTGCTTCGAACCTTAATCTAGCCTTCTCGGACAAGGGCAAAACATTTCGGAGGGCCGTGTGCAAATTGCTCACGTTAAAGATCCCTAGGTGGTCTAAAATCGATAAGAGTAGGCTTCGGCCGCTACACGGGCAAATTTCAAAATGTCCTACAAACTGAAAAAAGTTTAATATGTCCCGCGCTTTTCATATGGCCATATACAGTTGCGAGCGCCGCAAAGCACTTACAAAAAAAAAGAGCCTGAATGTTAGGGCCAAACCTAGCCTTTAGTGGGATACAGCATTCTTTCAGGAAAAAACCCGGGGATTTGATACACGCTTATTGACTGCCCGTCTTGTGGCGATAGAGCACACATCTTTTTCTTTTTTTCTTCTTCTTCTTCTTTCTGTAAGTGTTTTACGGCACTCGCAATTGCATAAGGTCGTATGAGAGTGCTGGACAAATTAAGCAATTTCAGTCTGGTAAGAATTGATCATTTTAAATTTTGCCCGAGTGGGTCCCGAAGACTAACTACTCTTTTGCTCTGACAACCCCAAGCGACAAACAAATCGGTCATACAAGCAACCAACCACAGCGTTACGGAAATCAAGGGATGGTGGTCCTGGATTATGACATATCTGGTTCACAACAAGTCGATAGAGAAACAGACGCCAGGACTTGCTGCTGTTCCACCGTGGAGTTATAAATAACTGAGGAAGGAGTCCCCGAGTTCCGTTGTCGCTTCGCTGACCGAGAGTACCTCATCATTGAACGGCGAGAGGGCCAAAAAATGAAAGAGGCTGAAAATGTGATGTCCGTCCGTGCGAGAGGGACGTTTTCGCCGTGACGAATACGAGAACGTTTACGTCCAGTTTGCTCTGCTGTCATCGACATTGATTATTTTGGTCGTTCTTTTTGGTTTTTGTTGTTGTTGTAGTTGTTTTGACAATTTTGGTGGGTGTGGGATGACGGAAATATTTGTTCCATAAATTATTGTATAAATTAAATTAATGTCCCGATTGGCAAATTGTGTCTTGCAGAGTTGATGATGATGATGATGATGATGACGATGATGATGATGATAAAAAGGGTGAGGAGGGTGATGAT